TGCCTGGGAGGCTGTGTGTCCCAGCCTTCATCTGAAGCGCGTCCTTCTCAAACCACGTGCAACAACAGGTCTCAAATCTTGGAGGCGGTGGTAGAACTGGGGCGAGGGCTTATCCTTTCAGAAAAACACACCTGCATGCGGAACTCACAGTCTCGGGAGTCAGGTAGTAATCTTACTCTAGAAGCCAGAGTTTGGAGACCAACACCTGTCTCAGAAAATCACTGGGAGAATAATGGACAAAAGAAACATCCTATCCCTGACTAGGTGGTTACCCCCCCAAATAAAGCACCTGTCCACCCACCTGGTCCCCCAGGCCTCTGAGAACCACTTTCTCTGTTCACAAGTGGCAATCACCACATAGCTATTAAGAGGGCCTCTGAGGACCAGCTAGGATTGGGAGCTTTCAGATCTTACCACCTTTGTTACTTTTATAGCCCACAACATTTATGGATTTCCCCCCTGGGAGCTTGGCCTGGACACCTGGAATGGATCTGAGCACCTTCCAGGACTCCCAGCCACATTTTGGAAGCCATTTCTCTGGGTCCCTTCCAAAAATGTCTAAGATCATTAAACAAATATTTTCAAAATAATGCAATTTGGGTTTCCTTGTTATAAAAGTAGCATCTACTCATTTTAGATGAAATCAAAATGCAAAACCTATCCAGAAGAAATGAAAATCTGTTGCTATCCTACCACCCAAGGAAACTGCTGGTATTTGGATATATTTATAAACATAAATGTTACTTTACAATTTTCCATGCCAGTGTGTGTTTTCAGATGAGGTCACATGAACCCCAATAGAGCTGTCCTCTGTGTCTCCATGAAAACTTCCCGAGTTGTCCCAGAGGGCCCCAGAGGGCCACATGGTCTGCATTCTGCTGCAGCAGGGTCTACATGAGTCCATGTTGGGGACCACAGAGACATGGTGACACCTGGGCCAAGAGGTGATCTCCTGATGTCCCTGATGAAACCAAAGGCGTCTTGTGGCCCGGGAGCTCCCTCCAGACCCAGGCCAGCACGGAGGTGGGGAGGCTCCTCTTCCACGCCCTTCCAGGCAGTCCTGGAGCACAGCCCTCAGGGTCTCCATGAGCCCTGTGGTGCCCAACAAGTTTGTGCCAGGGCTGCCCAGGAAACCCCAGGTACCTTGCTGTGCTCCATATCCCCTTCTTTATTCTTCCAATCTGTCTTCTTTAATGTGTCCTCCTCCTCGCTATGATAAGACAAACCAATTAAACACTAGCTGATGAATTGATGTCCCTTGTAAGGACATGTCTAAATTCCAGAGGATCAGGCTCAGCTGGACACAGGCTAGTTTATAAAACAGGACTGGCGTTTTACATGCTTCTATGCATTCAAAGATTCTTCTAAAACACGACTTTTAATTTGCTGCTTGGTGTTATTGCATCTAATACTTAACACCACTCAAGCAAAACCACATGCTTGGTCTTCCCCTGCTTTTCAGTGTTTGTATGGAGGACTGCGGTAGCAGATTCTGCATCCCCAGGCTCTGCCACAGAGTGGCAGGATCCCGGTTCCTCCGGGGGGCCTCTGTGACTGGCAGCACGTCCTCCCTCTGAGAGTTGAAGTTCTCATTCACAAATGACTTCTCTCCAAGATCCCTTTTACTTCTCCAACTCAAACTGAAGAGCAGGGGTTCTTCAAGCTCTTGACCCATAAAGCCTCATTTCAGAAAGACAGACGTGTCTCCAGGGTTGACAAGGCTGATCCCTTAGGACAAGATTGCAGATTGGTGGCCCCTGGG